GCGGGCGTCGCTCGGTGCGTGCGTTGCTTGGTGTGTGCTGGCGGGTGATGGACGGTGCCACGATGGCCTCTTCTGACGGTGACAGTCGCTGTGCTCTCGGCACACATCCACGCACTCTTCCTTGTCTTTCTTTGGGAGTGTTTGCAGCGGGGCAGTGCTGCGAGCTTGATGGGGACCACGACGGCGTCACCCCTCGAGAATGTCCCACGCTCTGTTGGTTGTGGAGGGGCGAGGCGGTTTGCCTGCAGCCTGACTGACAGAACCGCACAGTCGTTTCATTGCGGTCACTCCGTCGGCATCACCCGCTGCGGTGGTGTCCGCAGGAGCCGCAGCCCCGATGAGGATGGCCTCGTAGTTATCTGGCAGCTCATACCTTCAGGCCCTTCGCCCTTCAGGATTGCTCTTGCTGCTCGACTGGCGCAGCACCGGCCCGACATGTTTCTTCTCCCGGAGTGCAGGCAGCAAGGCGCCCCAGCGACGAGGCTCATTGGCTGCAGTGACTTCCACCAGGCCTGCAGTGGGCGTGCCGGTGGCGTGGACTTCGTGGTGCGCCACGCCTTTCCGTGCGAGCGCCTGTCGCTGCTGGCACCAACTGCGTGGAGACCACCGCCCTCCGCGTGTGCCCACCGGCCTGCCCCAGCATGTACGTGGTGAACCTCTGCAACCTTCCCACGGCAATGGCTCACGCTGTTCACCTTGCGAGCACCATTCGTCTCCCTGGTTCTGCAGCGCCCATTGCGGGTGACCTGAATTCACACCATGAGCTGCGGGACGGTTGCTCACCATCCACGACGGCAGGAGAGAACCTCGCCGCCACCCCAAGCGGCATGGAGATTGAGCTTTCCGACGACCCGGCACAGGCAACGCGGATCAGCGGCCGCCGCGTCTATTTTCCCGACGTGACTGCGCAATGCGTACTGCGTGTCTCCCACTGGACGTCCACCAGTTTGGACTCGTATCAACATCTGTCATCCCACACTGCGGGGACGGAGGACGGCATCCCGCGACAGGCAGGCATGCTGCCACGACGGAAACATGCTGCCTTTGCCCTGTGTGCAGCTGACTGGAATGATTCCACCACGGCGTGTGAAACGCCTCTGGCCACTGCGACCACATGGTTGGAGATGCAGCGAAGCACCATACGAGCGGCAAGGAGCGACATCCCGTGCGGCAGCCGTGACAGCTCCACAGGAATGTGGACGGACGGAATGGAGCGTGCCGAGTCCACTGCAGCGGCGGCGTGCAACGCGCACACTGCCTCACCCGGAGGCAGCCTGCCCCGAGCTGAAGTTGCCCGCAAACGGGAGGACCGCAATCATGCCCTCTGCGGTGGTTTCTCCATGCTGCTGGAGGTCCGTGCAAAGCAGCTTGGTGCCCTCTCGAGCCCAGGCCTGTGATACCCCGAGGCATGGCGGCACCACGTCCCCGCTGTCTGGGATCGGCTGTGCTGCGGTACTCTTGGGACTGCGTCTGTGCTCTGCCTCGGCAACAGGCAAACCGCTCGTCCGTCACACTGTCCGCGTCTCACGTGCTGCGATCCCCACAGCTGCCTGCACATTTTGTGCTCGCGTGCCCCCTGGTGATTGGAATATGGATTGGCCCTTCGCGCCGTGTGCGCCTGACTCGGCCATCCGCGACTGTTTGCCTGGCATGGCCCCTGGCCCCGGCGGCGTATTGAGTGCGTTTCTGCGCCATCTTGTACCCGCTGCCCGCTGCTCGCAAAGAAAGATGATCAACACCTCCCTCGTCGACGGCATTCTGCGAAGTCCTTGGGAAATGGGGACACCACTCCCATCCGCAGACACGGGAAGGACACACGCCGCACAGAGAGAGTCGTCGGCCACTCACGCTGCTCTTTGTCCTGCTAGGTGTGAGCGAAGGACTGATCCACCGCCGCCTGTCAGCACTGCTGGCACACCACCGACGTCAGCCTGGATCCACGCCACGACGCACGGCCTCGGATGTGGTGACGCCTGTGAGTGACGAAGCGGCACGAGGGCTGAGCGGGTGCATCGCTGTGGAGTGCGAGCGTCGCAGGGGCGTCGTTCCGCGCTGCACCGTCGCCGCTCTCTCGCCGTCCCGTTCGGCATCTCGACTGCGTTCGACACCGTTGACGATGGGCGAGTGCTGGCCGTGCTCTGCGGGCTCCCGCGCGTGGGCCATCGCGCCCAACGCTGGTAGCGCAGTCACCTGCGAGGCAGCTGCGTTGAGGTGAGTGCTCGCGAGCAATATTACCGACAGCAGCTTCCCTCAGCCATGGCAGCCCAATGCGGCGTCGTGCGGCCTCAGCTCCTCCACCGCCACGTGGATGGACTGCTGCGCCGACTGGACAGCATTCACTTTGCTTCGGCGTTCATGCACGCTGACGACCGCACGCTGGTTGCGTTGTGTGCGGACCTCTGTGCCTGTGGTGCGGCAATGTCGACTGCCGTGTCCGTTGTGGCCACATGGGCTACCGGGCACAGCCCGAGTATCAGCGCCGACAGGAGCGCTGCCGCCCTGTTCTGCATCGCTTCACGCTGACAGTCTGACGAGGACACGGCCGACCATCGTCTGGGCGGTGGGAAGCCATGCGTCAAGTCCCACCCTGTGCGCCTGCTCGGCAACGCGATTGATCGACACCTCAATTTTGTTTCACACGTCACCGCCGCTGTAGGGCAGACCGTGCCACGCCGCCGTCGGCCGCGGCTGGGCGCAGGAGCTTGTGCGTCCCAGCACACCATGCGATCCTTTCTCGTTGGGTGCGTTCACGGTGCGTTGCACCACGGCGGTGAGGCAACCGCACCGTGTCGGCCCCCACTCACCTCCACAGCCTGGAAGTGCGGCACCGCGACAGCTGCACATCATCGCTCGTCCCACGCGTATCATCGAAGGATAGCTCTGTCCACCTGGCCGCCAGTCCAGCACCGCTGCGGAGGATCTTTGGGTTCCGCGCACCCACACGGCACGAACGCCTCACACGTCTCCGGTATATTGAGGAAGTGCGTGGCGCAGTATGCTCGGAAACCACACCTTCGTCAATACCTGGGAGGGCAGCGACGACCATTCTGCTGCCGGGAGATGCCGTCCTCAAGGAACTGCGACGCGTCCGCAGCCGCATGGGGATCTCCCCGGACCGCATCCGCGCCCCTCTTGTTGAGCACCGAGTTTTCGCCTGGGACACTGTGAGCTGCAGCGGGGTGGGCGTCTTCCGGCCACGGCACGCCAAGGACGTCCTGTACGGTGTCAGACGATCGGCCCTTGAAGCGGCCTGCACCTCTCTGGGACTGTATGACGCAGGTCGCTGGATGGACGGCACGTTGTCTCTCAGTTTGCATGCATCTGGATCCGCTGCAATGCCACTTGACTCCCCGGACAGCCGGGCTGCCTGTGGGGCCTCACCGCACAGCTGCTGGCAGCCTTGCATGCACCTGCCGAGCGGAGTGTCCTGCCACTGAGCATGGCCTCGGACAGTTTTCAGTTCCCCGCCTGGCAGCAGCATCCCAATCGCCCACACGAGTTCCTGTCGCCACAGACTCCCTCTCGGCGATGGAGTCACTCCGCCTTGGCCCGCTGGCGGTGCACGACGACGTCAGCGAGGAGATTTGTACCGTGCCGCTTTCACTGGTGGATCGAGGTCGCACTATTGGTTCCTTATTTTCCCCATGACACTGCGGAATCCCACGCAACGTGACAGCGGACGCTGATGCCGTCATGGCACGATCCCTCCCGCAGGACTGCGTCAATGCCTGGCATGTGGAATTCCTCACTGCAGTGAAGCGACGGCACTGGAATGGTGTCCAGGAGGAAAAGGAAGGCGCACACACCGCGTGACAGGCGGCTGTCGGTGTGGCGAGGGCTCTATTCCTGGTGTTGACCCGGACATCGGTCCCCGAGTGGCGGCACTGCGCACAGGCGCGATGCGACTCCTGCCCACTCTTCGACAGGCCTGCACGCACCCTGCGGATCACAAGGAACCCTCTGTGTCGGTGGTGCCGTCCCTCCCTGACTGCGGTGACCGGCCCGCCTCTGCCTCCGCCGGAACCTTTTTCCCGACGTGAGCACAGCAACTTCTTGCCGACCAGCGAGCGGCGGATTGACGTCCTCCTGCCCAACCCGCAGCAGAGTGCACTTGTCCGTCCACAGTATGAGGGCACATGCCCGACGTGCTCAGCCTGGCGTTATAATAGTTTGCGAGGGCCTCCCATGCGGATGCCACAATGGCGCCACCGTCTTCTTAACAGGTGCCTCGCGCGCAGGTCGCCACCGAAGTTGCCAAGCACGCCAGCAGGCAAGACACGCAGGAAGCACAAACGCGGGTACTCGAGATGGAACAGGCTCTTCCGCCACCGCCTCATCACAGACGCCACGTGCTGCTGATCCCCGACGGAACACGGGAGACTGTGCCTCATCCACTGCGGGAATGCCCCGTCGTTGGCAATTGGGACTGCGACTGTGTGGGACTGCCCAGCCCGCACGACGGCTCGTTTGCGACGGAATACTTGCCACTTTTGTACGGACGGCCCTTGCGCTACTCACCCGTTATTGTAGCAGCATACAACCAAAACAACATAACAAGCTGCTTTGTGATGAATATTGGCTGCAGATCCCGTGGACCAACAATCCACGTGGTGTGCGGGGATCTCTTCCTTTTAATTGTTACTTTGCTTTTGTGTTGCTGTGTGCGCTGCACCTTCTTGTGCGCGTGCGCACCCTCCGTGAGGGGTGCCGACACGACGGACCGCTCTCGCCGCATGTACATGCGGTGGAGCCTTGTGTGCCGCTCCTGTTTGCTTCTCCCTCTTCCATCTGTGTGTTGGTGTTGCGGCAGGGCTGTGTGTGTGTGTGTGCCTGCTGCCGTGGAATGGAGTGTGTGTCGTGCGTGGTGTGCGGCGTACGCTGCATGCCTGGCTGCTGCCCTCTCCTCATGTGGTGTGCTCTCTGTGTGTGTCTGCCGCACCTCTCGTCTCCCCTGTTGCTCTCCATGTCCCTCACTGTGCAGATCAGCTCCACACCACTGAATGACCACACTCACGATGATGACGTGCCGTCTGCTGTGCGCCCTGTTGGTGCTCGCCCTGTGCTGCAGCCCGTCCGTGTGCGTGACAACGAATGGCGCGGAAGGAGAAGATGACTCCAGTACGGACTCCCATACACAAAAGGATGTAAGTAGGACAAACGGTAAGCAAAAGGGAAAAAGTGGGAGCCAAGACCTGACGAACAAAGAGTCAGAGGATGAAAGTGAGAACGGTACGCAAGAAATACAAGGTAGGCCCACCGATGGGATTTCCAACAGTGAAGGTGCATCAGGTGCATCCGGTGAGCCAGGGAAAACAAGTTCTGTGGATCAATCCGCAACAAACCCAAAATTGGAGGTTCCTGTGGAAAAAAGGACGACTACAACTACTACAAAGGCACCAATTACGACAACCACTACTACGACAACGACCACTGCGCCAGAAGCACCAAGTACTACGGTCATGAATACGGAGACGCCAACGACGACGACCACCCGCGCACCGTCACGTCTTCGCGAAATCGACGGCAGCCTCAGCAGCTCTGCGTGGGTGTGTGCCCCGCTGCTGCTCGCCGTATCCACGCTGGCGTACACCACTCTGGGCTGAAGAGTTGTATGCGGGCTGTGCGTGCCGGCACTCAACCGCGGGGATTTGTGCGCGTGTGTTGTGGTCCACTGTATAAAATAAGAGAAAATAATGATTGTGTTTTGCTTTACTTGCTTCTGTTGCCGTGCTGTGTGGTCCATGTTGCTTCTCCAAATACATCATGTTGAACGCATCCCAGACACACTCATAAGCATGCGCACTGGAGCCCTGGGTTTGTTTTTCTTTTCTTTTTAATTTCTGTTTTTTAATTATTGTTTTTTATTGCTTTTTAAACTTGTGGTTTGCGGGGCGGTGTGCGAGCTCTGCAGTCGTACTGATTCCATCTGTCTCGTGGTGTGTGCGCTGCTGCTGCTGGGGTGCTGCCGGTGTGCGTGGTGTAGCGGCGGTGTCTATCTTTTTGCTTCCCTCTCTTTTGACGGGGAGTTTCTTTTGCTGAAGGCTGCACGCAATTGACAGGAGTGATGGCGATGAGGATGACTGGCCGTGTGCTGCTGGTGTGTGCCCTCTGCGTGCTGTGGTGCGGTACCGGCGGTAGATGTGACGAGGAGGGGACGGCAGGCTCTGGGATTGGTGGTAGGCCTCCGCCGGAATCAAAACAACTTGAAACGTCTCCAGAAGGACCCCAAGGCTTAAAAGTTGAAGTACCAGGTGGTGAAGAAAATGTAACACCCGCATCTTCCCCTCCTACAGAGGAAAAGGATGATGATGAAAATGATGGTGAAGAGAATGACGAAGGTGCAGAGAGAAAAGCGGAAGAAGAAAAAAGTACTGAAATGCAGAATGTTCAAGAAGGAACAGATGCAATAGGCTCAGGTTCCAGGGAAAAGAATTTGGGTGGCAGCCGGCTGGAAAAGAACCAGGCAATTGTATCTGCAGAGGGCATTTCTCATTCCGGCAGTCAGGAATCAAATGCCAATTCTACGCAAACGGAATTTGAAGGAAAGAAGGACGCCGACGAAAATACACCAGCAGCAGAGATTACACTCACAACAGGTAACGGAGAGAACACAGTGCCTCGGGGAATTGCGGGAGTAAATCTTCCATCACCTCCAGAAGAAGGTGTTGATTCCCGCGAACAGGATAGCGAAGACACTACGAGTGAAGGCGAAAAAAATGTTCAGTCGCCTGAGACCGCAGCCACACCACAAAGCCACCGAGACAAAGGCTCAGAAGGGACTGGGGAAGATACAAAAGCAACGACAGTAACCGCCAACACAACTGATACGACGAATACACAAAACAGTGACGGCAGCACCGCGGTCTCCCACACCACCTCTCCTCTTTTGCTTCTTCTTGTTGCGTGTGCGGCTGCTGTGGTGGTGACCGCGTGAGAGTGAGTGAGAGAGAGCCGTGCACCGCCCGCACACACACTCGTCTTTCACCCACTCTCTGTGTGTGTCCCCTTGCATGGACTCTCGCCCTCACCTCATCCCACGAAGCACACACATAATGTGCCCATTGTATATATTGCATGCACACTCATGCAGGCCCGTTGGTGCTCTCTTTTGCACGACACGCACCGCTGCCGTCCTGCCTGGCTGCATGGGCGGAGCACCGTAACTGTTTCTGTTTTGTTTTTATTGCATTGAGTGGGCGACCTCTCTCTCTCTCTCCCTGTGTGTGTGTTTTGCTTTACGGGAGCCATGAGAGAGTGTGTGCGCTGGTCGTCCCACGCTTCTGCTTTTGTTTTATTTGTTTTTCATTGTTTTGTGGTTGAGTGCTCCCATTCCGCGGGCTGCGTGTGTGTGTGTGTTTGTGTGTGATGATGTGAGTAATTTGTGTGTGTGCCATCCGCTTCTCTCTGCCGTTGCTTTCTTCTGACTCTCTTGTGGCGCACAGCTGCTCTGCAATTATAGGCGCTGACAAACACACAAGCACAAGCACACACACACATGCTGTGTCGCACACGCTGTGGAGGGATTTGTTTGCTGAGGACGTACGGACGCACAGGATTTTGGCTGCGGCTGCCCTTGCGAGAAGGGTGGACGGGAGACCGCGACGTGTCTTGTCGACGTGTTGCGGGCGTGAAGGCGGCGCCGTGCAGGCAGGTGGGTGGTGTGGGCGTTGAGGGTACCTTTTGCGAGTGCGGATTGCTTCCCTTCTAGTAGCTGCACGTGCCGAAGCTTCTCCCATGCTGTGGATCCGTCGACGGGGGATCCTCCGGCTGTGCGGGGTGGTGTGTGCCGGTGGCGGAGCGGGAGCGCTGGAGGAGACAGCAGCAAAAGGACTGGCGGCAGCGCATGGGCGCAGCGAAGGGCGGCTGTGCCCTTTTGCACCACGTTGGTTTATTTGTGTTTGGGTGTTGCTTGGTGTGTGCCGACGCGTGACGAACGCCTCAACCGCTGTGGCTCCTTCTGGTGGTGGTGGTAACAGTTGCTGCGTTCCCGGTGCACTGTTTTTTCTCCTTGTTTCGTGTGTCTTTATGCGTGAGTTTTTGTTGTTGTTATTGACTGCGGCAGGGATGATGGTGTCACTCACTGAGGATGCTGGCAGTGCTTACTGTTGTACCTCTTTTATTGGACATTTCTTTTTTTCTTTATTTATTTCTCACTCACACACGAAGAAGGAAAATAAGAGCTAAACACTACTGTGAAGTTCGAAGGCACTGAAAGGACCAACAGCACGCACACACCGCCCACACACACATATTTATATGCTCTCACGCGTTGCTGCTGTCATGGCGCCCGCACACACAACCGTCGCCGCGTGACCGGATCCAGCGGAAGGAGGAGGGAAGGAAGAGAGAGTGAGCGGCAGAGGCTCAACATGTCGCGGCATCTCTTCCATTTTGTGCTGCTTCTACTTGTCGTCATGGTTTGCGGCAGTGGAACTGTGACTGCGGATGAGGTGAAGGAGTCAGCTGAACCAAAGTTTGAGTGGAAGGGCATCACTGAGGGTGCTGGTGTAACTGTGGACTCGTTGGGCGTTCCCAGCCTTCTAAGAGTGGGGAGTGACGTGTTTGCTGTTGCCGAGGCGCAGTGCAAAGAGACGAAGGAAGGTAACGATAACTTTTTTTCTGGCATTGCATCCCAAGTTCTCACGAAAGATAATGCTGACACACCGGTGGAAGTGCTGATTGAAGTGAAAGACACACAGGTTTTGGAGAAAGCCCCTTCCACAGAGTTGAAGAAAGTGGATGTGAGCCGACCAACAACAGTTGTGGAGGGAAATGATATTTACATGCTTGTTGGAAAATACAGCCGGAAGGCTGCCACTGGTGTTCAGGAGAGAGATGCAGTTGACCGTGGATTTTTGCTGGTGAAAGGGGAAGTCGGTGGTGAAGAAAGTGGCAGTGGCAAAGGAATCCAGTGGAAGGATACCAAAGGTCTCCCGCGGACACCTTTCTGCGAGCAACACGAATATTTAACAGGGCTGGTTGGCGGCGGTGGATCAGGTGTTAAGATAAAGGACGGTACGCTTGTGCTCCCAGTGGAAGGCACGCAGGAGAAACCTGTGCAGAAGGAAGCTGCGGGTGGAAAGACAACTACCGTTTCGCTGATCATATCTTCTTCGCAGGACTTTGCGACTTGGACGCTGTCGAAGGGGATGTCTGCCGATGGCTGCGGTGATCCCTCCGTCGTGGAGTGGGAGGACGATAAACTCATGATGATGACTGCGTGTGATGATGGCCGCCGCAGGGTGTACGAGTCCGGTGACAAGGGGGAGTCGTGGACGGAGGCACTCGGGACACTCTCGCGCGTGTGGGGCAACAAACGGGATAAAAACGTGAAACTCGTTAGAAGCGGGTTCATCACAGCGACGATTGACGGTGTTGATAGTGATAAGAAAACTGTGATGCTCGTCACCCTGCCTGTGTTTTCTAAGGAAAATGTGGAAAAGGGTGAACTCCATCTTTGGCTGACGGACAATGCGCACATTGTTGATATTGGGCCGGTACCCGGTGCTGATGACGCTGCCGCCAGCTCCCTGTTGTACGAAAGTGGTAAAGATGGTGGTAATGAGAAGGAGTTGATTGCACTGTACGAGAAGAAGAAGGGCGATGGGAAACCATCACCCGGTATGGTCTCTGTGCGTCTGACTGCGCAGCTGGAGCGGGTGAAGGAGGTGCTGGCGACGTGGAAGGAAGTGGACAAACGTGTCTCCCAGCTGTGCCCGTCTAGAAGTGATGCGGAGCGTGCCTCAACTGACAATGCCTGCGGCGCTGTAAAGATCACGGATGGGCTGGTTGGCTTTTTGTCCGGCAACTTCTCTGATGGCACATGGAGGGACGAGTACTTCGGGGTGAACGCCACAGTAAGTAATAAAGAAGGGGCGGAGCAGGTGGATAGTGGCGTGAAGTTTACAAGCCGTGGCGCAGGGGCGGAGTGGCCTGTTGGCAGTCAGGGGGAGAATCAGCTGTACCACTTCGCAAACCACAACTTCACTCTTTTGGCGACGGTGTCCATTCACGAGGTGCCGGAGGGAGATACCCCCATTTCAGTGATTGGTATGAAGATGAAAGATAATGGGAAGACTGTACTCCTGGGACTGTCGTACAACAACAAGGAAAAGAAATGGATGCTACTGTGTGGTGAGGAAAAGTCTAATGAGCTCAGCAGCCCTTGGGAGCCAGGGAAAACACACCAATTGGCCATTGTGCTGCAGAAAGGCACTCAGGGCACCGCGTACGTTGATGGTGAGCGTGTGGGTGCGTCGTGTGCATTGGAAACCACGGAATCGAACGAGATCTCGCACTTCTACATTGGAGTGGGTGGAGGCAGCGCAGGGAGCGAAGAAGAAGTGTCCGTGACTGTGACGAACGTCCTGCTGTACAACCGTCCGTTGAATGAAGCGGAGGTTGGCGCCCTCAACCCAAATAAAGTCCCCATTCCACCTCCGGTAGGTGGAAGTGCGCAAGGAACATTGTTGCAATCTCCTTCTGACGGGCAACCGCCGTTGGAGCGTGAATCGTTGAATGAAAATGAGGGTGTGGGCGGTGGCAGGGCATCCGCATCAGAACCGTCCACTGTAACGACTTCCTCAGGAAAAGTGCAATCCGCAATCCAGCTGTCGTCAGGAATATCTCTCGGTGGAAGTAAAAACGTGGATGTCGCTTCTTTGTCTGTGGGTGATCCAACGGTGGGAGCGGAAGCTGGAGATACGGTGCCGGGAGACAAACCGCCTCAAACTTCTGCGGGCACTCCCTCCACAGCAGATGCAAACGCTCCTACCGCTGAAACCGTGGGGCAAGTTGACCCCGCATTGACAACTGAGGTGAGCGTGAGCTCTGGTGAGGATGGGGAGACGGCAGGAGGAACGGATGGGCAGGAGGAGGAGCAGATCCATCCACAGGACAGGGACGTAAATGCTACGGCCCTCAGCAGCAGTTTGGGAAATTTGTCGCAGGGGAATAACAGCGATGCCGGCACTGTGCGTGAGAGGAGTGTGCTGCCGCTCCTTCTTCTGCTGTTGGGACTGTGGGGGTTTGCGGCTCAGTGAGGGGTGACTGGCTGCCGCGTGGAACAATCGCGACCTCCCCTGCACAGAATTGCGTCCAAGAACCAATTTTTTCCCTTCAAATAATTTTTCATTTTTTGCTCATTTTAAATTTAATTTCCTGTTTGCTACTTTCTTTTTGTTTCTTTTTTTTTTGTGTGTGTGTGCGTAATTTTAAAGCCTTTTTTTTTTGCTTTCTTTTTCTTTTTTTAAATGTTTTCGTGTTTTTATATTTCTGTTTTGTTGTTTTAATTTTTTATTCCCATCCCTTCTTTTTTTTTGCTTTTGGGGGGCAATCACTATGGACGTTTTTTTCTTTTCTACTCTTCCCTCTTTCAATTGTTTCTTCTGCACTCTTCCTATGAGGGGTGCCGTGTGTTTCCCGCCCAACTGCTCCGCTCGCACGCCCACCGACACGCTCGTGACGACGGCTCTGTGCGCCTCGCCTGCTGCACGCATGAGGAGGGGCGGCGACGAACGGCACGCTGAGGGAGCCGTGACGTGTGGGCGTGCGACGAGGGCCGGTGGGGCGGAGCACACATTTCTTTCCCTCTTGTTTTGTTTTCTTTGCGGCCAGGGCGGGCAGACACCCGCAGCGAGACACACACACAGCCACACCCTGCCGCCGTGTTTTTAAGGTTTTTTGTTTTTGTTTCTATCCGATGTTTGTATGCTGCCACCATGCGTGATTGGAGAGGTTGGGGCTGTACCGCATGCATCGCTGCCATCCAGCTGTGCCTCTTGCTGCGCCGATGATGTCCTCCCTGTGCTTTTTTTTTTTCTCTGCTTCTCCAGCGCACACGCACACAGACATAACTAGTTGCACGGTGCTCTGAAAGAATTTGTTGGCGACGGCAGGAAGCCTTTTTGCATTCCGCTTGGGGCCGGCTGCCGC